CTGGATATAATATTCTCTTTACTCCTAGTTGTAGAATTTCCACTCAGCCAGCCCGCCTGTGTTTCTGGATGTTGTGGGTCCCTGGTTCAAGCTTAATTTGAATTGGTTGTTCAAGGCGGCAATCTCCGGCGTTAACCTATGCCGCCATCTTCGGTTCTCTCCATCTAGGGAATTTCTTGCTTGAACATATTATTTAGTGTGGTGCTACTAAAATATACTTAGTAAAACTTAGGATAAGTTTTGTACTATTGAATAAGTAATTGAAGTATTTGCCTCTCAAAATGGCTTCATTGGTTTCTTAGTTGTCAGTTTGTTACTCAGATATCCTTTTATGTTATTGATAATCCTAAGAAAATTATGTAACTCCTGTTTAACATGGGAGTTTTCCAGTTTGTGTATACCACAGGAAAGAATAGTGGCTATGGTTCTAAATGATTGAAAACTCCGAGGGGAAGGACTACTGTTTTTCAGAATATTTTAAATTTCTTGACTTTTAAGAAACATTTCAAGTCTTTTAATGCTACCATTATTCTTCTCCAAGAGATTATTGCTGAGTTGTCACATTATTATACCTTTAGGTGAACCCCTTAGAAGATTAGGGGTCCTAACATAGGGAAATGGAGATGAGAGAGCAAAGGGGAGAGAATAAATTAGGTCAGGGAGGAATTGCTGCTGTTTACGACTGTCTTGGAGATCTAAATATTTAGGGACTAAACAGCAAGTGTAAAGTTAGTCTGTCTTTCTGATCTTTAGTCAGTGGGGAAAGAAGTTTTGTCAATTGGTAAGAATGGAAATCAGAAACTGACAGAGCTGAGCCCATGGAAGTGCATAATGAACATAGCAGGAGCTTGTTAAATTGTTTAGGGTAAAATGAGGTGGCCATTAGGACACCTTTTTGTTTTTTATATTTTTAGGGGGAAAAAAGCCTGTTCATTCTCATAGTGCTCCTTACTTTCACTTCCTGATATTTTGAGAAAACATACGTGAGGAAAATTTATTTCGGCATCTGTATATTGATCCTAGAACAGTTATCAATAGCATAGTTAATTGGGATTTATTCTTGTCATTTTTCTGCAAAATCTTAGAGCAAAAGAGTTTTGAAAACATGAAATTACAATGACAGTTGTATATGTGTAAAATAAGAGGAACTGCATGTATTTTTCTTAGCCTTTCTGAGTTTTTCTGAAATTGTTTCTTAGATTATTTCTTTTCACTCTTCTTTCTAGGAATAGGGTAGGCAAACTGTGCCCAGAGTCATTCCTGTAGCCTATATTTATATGATCCATGAGCTAAGGATGGTTTTTAAATTTTGGGATAGTTGGAAAAGAAATCAAAAGAATCATATTTTGTGACACATGAAAATTATGGGAAATTCAAATTTTAGTGTTTCTAAATAAAGGTTTATTGGAACATAGCCACGCTCATTTATTATTGTGTATGTCATAATTGCAGAGTTGACTAGTTGTAACAGAGACTTAAATGGCCCACAAAGCCTAAGACATTTACTATCTGACCCTTTATAGAAAAAGTACCCAGTCCCCTGTTCTAGGGCCTTGGAACCCAATAAATGGCATAAAACTATTTTAAGCTGCTATTATGCCATATAAAGGTCTATTAAAAAATATTAGATAGTCTATCAATTTCAAAGAATTCTATATTTTAAAATTTCCTGAAGAGTGAGAGCTATGAAATCCTTGTATAACTTTGAAATCCCACCTTTACATTTTTACTCTTTGATTCAGTAATATATTTGAAAAATCTTTTACTAGCCATTTAAGATTTTATCTTTCTCTACTGTATTAAGCAATTGTTATTAATCGCTTTTCAGATATTATTACTTGGAAAAATACCAATTTGGATGAACATTTAAATAGTTAACTTCTTTTTCTCCTGGAACCTTGAATTATTTTGCTGCTGTAAAAATCAGTTGCCCTCTCTATTTTACAGAAAGTTGCCCACTATCATGCTGTTATTAGGAGGAAATATCAATACCTGTCCAGTATTAGATTGAGAGCTATGTATTATACTGATATATACATACAGAGGTCAGTTTTTGACTGTTAGCATAAGTAAATCCATTGAACACTGTGGTTTACTTTCTGAGGTATTATAGTTCTTAATGAAGTATATGCCACTTACTGATTCACAAATCACTTTAAAGTCATAATTAACTACTAAATAGAGTGTCCTATATATCATTTAATATTTTTTCTTACTTGAATTTCTTAGGTACAATGTTAGCTGTTCTAAAAAATTTGCACTTAGTCGTTGGAATCGTAAGCCTGATAATCAAAGTCTTGGGCATCGTGGCCGTCGTCCAAGTGGCCCTGATGGGGCAGCAAGAGAACATATCCTTAGGCAGGTCTGTAGAAACCTTGCTTCAATGTACAATACCCTTTTCAGTAATGCAAGGAAAGTGCAATGCTGTATTTTACTTGTACTACATTTTCCAGCTTCCAATTACTTATCCATCTGCAGAAGAAGACTTGGCTTCTCATGAAGATCCTGTGCCATCTGCTATGACAACACGTCTGCGCAGGCAGAGCGAGCGAGAAAGAGAGCGTGAGCTGCGAGAAGTGAGAATTAGGAAAATGCCTGAGAACAGTGACTTGCTATCAGTTGCACAAACAGAGCCCTCCATATGGACGGTTGATGATGTCTGGGCCTTCATTCATTCTTTGCCTGGTACGTAATTCAGCATTTTGGCCTTAATGTTTTTTTTGGGCATTCACACACAGGAATGATGTTAGATCCACCTGCATCTATTGCACGAAAGGGTTCGAGAAGTACTTATGTGTATATACTAGTTAAATAGCATTTGCTATTGAAATATGATCTGATTCCTCTTGCTTATTCCCTCAGCACAACTGGGTATTTTCTCATACCCTCAAGTCGATAAAAACTGACTAGTCCTGCTTCAGCTGTGACACCTCAGCCGGTGAAGGTATTAAAGGTGCTCTCTTCTCTTCAGTCTGATTTCTCTCGAGGGGTCAGTAGAGAGATTGAGTCAGACACTTCTTCCCTTTGCTCTTCTACTTTTCTATTCGGTTTCCTCATTTCCTAATTTAATATTTAACCTTTTAAATAAGAGAGACTAGCCGAAGCCGGTTTGGCTCAGTGGATAGAGCGTTGGCTTGCGGACTGAAGGGTCCCAGGTTCGATTCCGGTCAAGGGCATGTACCTGGTAAAATATATTTAAAAAAAAAAAAAAAGAGAGACTATAATTTTTTTTTACATTTTTGAAAGCTAATCAAGACCTTTTAGACTATGATTAAATTTTGGTTTCTTTTAAAGGAAGCTGCATTCTTTGATTCTTGCAAAAAGTAGGTATCAAGAACAGTTCCAAAATTTGATTAAGTAGACAGCTAGCATTCAGTTATGATATTCTATCCCAATAGAAAAGGATAACTTTCTTATGTTTTCCTGCTCTCTCATTTTTGAATTCTTTCCATCAGCTTATTCTTTATGTTCTTTATCTTTTCTTCTTTAATGTGAAAATAAACATAAAGTCCACTTTCTCCAAGGGACTGGCTACTAAAGACATTTGAACCTTTGCTCATGATGAAACCCACACACTGTCTATGTTAAGACAATATATGTATTTTTTTAAATCAACAAATCTTATCATTCACTTTGGCCTTATGAATATGGAACACAAGGAAATTGTTAAATTGTGTTCCATTTTGGTTTTATTCTGAATCATACCATTTACCTTGATATAAGCTTTCTAGAAAAATACGTCCCTTTGCAGTTGTTCTGCAAGCTTATTAAAATTAATCCAGCTAGTTTTGCTAATTAATCTTTCTATGAAGGCCACTGTCTCAGAAGTAAATTTACAGCTAATGTGCTGTGAGAGTGAAGAAAGTATATTTAGCAGTTATTATTGCTTTAAAAAAAAATTTGTCAGCCATTTTACCATTTCTGTTTTCAGAACTCTATGAGATTTTATTGAATTCTTTTTTCTTTTAAAATATATTTTTATTGACTACAGAGAGGAAGGAAGAGGGAGAGAGAGATAGAAGAACCAGTGATGTGAGAGAATTATTGATTGGCTGCCTCCTGCATGCCCCACACTGGGAATCAAACCGTGACCACCTGGTTCATAGGTTGATCAACCACTGAGCCCCACCAGCTGGTCTAAATTATTTTTTCAGTACCTTGTTTTAGAAATGCTAAATAAGTTTTGTGGTTTCCTTTCTTTCTTTTCTTTTTTAAAGAAAAACAAGATATAGTCATTTTTAAAGAAAGAAGAAATTGTTTAAAGAGGGATAGATTTCCCATGGGAAGATTTTTAAGCACACACCTAAGAAAACTTAGGTGTGAGTTGTGCTGACCATATAGGTTTAGAATCTGCATTAAAACTGATGTATTAGAGGATGATGAGTATTGTTTGTAGTTTTAATACTTAATGAAATAAATTTTAGATTTTAGATTAGTTTAGATACCGTGAGATTTAACCCTAAAGTCTATACTGATCTCCTGGGCTAGACTTTGATTCTATCATCTTCAGAAGTAGTCTCAGTTTTCCAAATGGGGTGTGTGAGCTGTTTGTTAGCTCTGGTTCTCATTTGGTGTAAAGTATTTCTTTTCCTTTGGGGATGAAGGGTGGTTTATATCCTGAAGAAAGTAGGTTGGCAAGCAAATAAATAATTGATAGTACTGAGTCCTCTGTCACTTTATATACTTTTTTTAGGACTAATTTTCCCCAGCATCCATTTGCCATGAGGCTACTTTTGGCTGCTTTTATTGGAACAAAGGCTAACTTCTTTGTCTCATTCTTGCTTCATTTGAATTAAAAAAAAAAAGATTATTGCTTATAACTTTAGATGCTTGTCTTATTGAGTTCATCAAGACACTTAATTTTATTGCCAGTGTTTAGAGAACATTACATGTCATTAAAAGGAGACTGCTTTATAATTAAGAATTGCTTGGGTCTGCTTAATATAACTCTGCTTTTCTTTTACTGATTAAATGGGAGTATTTCCAAACTTTTATATGTTAAATAACAAGCTTATTTGTGTGATCCTTATATCTTCTTTTTCAAAGTTTTGCTCTCTGAAATGCCTGTAGTTTAAGGTAACTTTCATACAGAATAAGCATTTATCTTCATTTCCCTATGTTCCTCTGGTCGCTGTAAACTTCCTTTTGAGCCTCTTTGAGCTCATTCAGGGCTTTATGTTTGTTTATTTTTTTGTTTTCCTGAGAGTCTACTCCCAAGTTTTTTTCCTAGAATGAACAAGCTTGTAAATTTTGTAATCCTTTGTATTTTCTTTCCCTCTTTTATCAGGGCACCTACATTTACCCCCTAGAGTTATCTCTTTTCTATTGTCATCTTGTGCACCATTCTGGTGGGATCATATAGAGCTGGTATGCAGTACATCCAAATCTCAGAGCTGTTAGCAGAAAGAAAAATTATTTTCATATAAATTTTTGTGCATTAAAAAGTTCTCTACAGAAACTACTCTTTCTGTTTTCAGTTAATTGCAGTTATCTTCTTCAACTCTTCCTTGAAACAGTTAAATTGCAAAGATCAATTTATTCTGGATTTATTGATCTTTGAATCTGCAGTAAATTAGGTTTCTTTGTAGGCATAGAAAGTATAGGAATTATATACAACTAGAAGCCCAGTTTGTGCACTGGCGGGGGCGGGGGGGGTCTCTCAGCCCAACCTGTGCCCTCTCACAGTCTGGGACCCCTCGGGAGATAACCACCTGCTGGCTTAGGCCTGCTCCCCTGGTGGTAGATGGCACGCCCGATTCCACGGTGCCTGCCCCATCTTCCCCAGTCGCAGATGGCAGGCCTGGATCCCTGCTGGGTCAGGCGGTGGCTCGGAGTCATGCTGCTGCCCGGCCCCGCACACGGCAGGCCTGGATCCCGCCCTGGGGCGGGCGTCGGCTTGGAATCTCACCCGCCCAGGGCAGGCGGCACAGTGGGATCTGCCTGCAGTATGCAAATTTAACGGCCTTCTTTGTTGGGTTAATTTGCATACTCTTCTGATTAGCTGATGGGTGTAGCAAAGGTGCGGTCAATTAGCATCTTTGTCTTTTATTAGTGTAGATATGACGATTTACTGGTTTTCATAATACTAACATTGGGACTTGATTTTTCTGTACTATTGAATGGCAGGTCACAGCGTTTCACCTTCCTTATTGAGGCCATTTTTTGTGCAGGGTGAGTTTATTTTGGGTTTCTTTGGAAAAGTGACTGGATGCTTGGGACCCGTGTCCATGTGTTCAGGTCTGTGCACACCCTGATAGCTGCTTCTGGTGATGTAAAGCCAGCTACTCTGACTGGTTACTACAGTTGGGATATATTTTGTACATATCCCTAGGGTGCAGCTGCTTTACAGAAGGAGATTTTAATGTCAGAAATTCATAGAACTAGCTCAGAACATCCTGAGCATGTAGAATTTTTTTAAAATTCATTTTTCTCAATTTTCTGGAAGCATATTTGCTTCTGTTTTTTTCTTTTTAAAGTCACTTTATTTTTTAGCTTCTGTACTAATGTATAGTATAATCCCCCTGCCCCTTTTTGGGGTTGGCTTTAGAAAGTTGTGGTCTAAAATACTGAAGATAACGCATTCATATTTGATCACGCTGTTTCCCAAACTTTTTGTTCACTATTATTTTGCTAATACCTTTATTGTCCACCTGTAAGAAGACATTTGAAGAGGTATCTCATAATGCAGAGGAACGAAAACATGCTATATATTTTCCTCATGGAGAGCTCCTTGTTTCTATTCCCACATGTAGCTCTTATAGTCCTCATTACTTCTCATGGCTCCTGTTTTCTGAATCTAAGTAAGTCCTACCCTATCTTTCTCTCTCTTCTTTTCTTCCCTGTGCTCTTGTAAGTAAGACTGAAGAGAGAAGAACATTAGTTCTTTCATATAAAGAAGGATGAAGTCACAACTAGACGCAAGATTAGTCAGTTTTGTCTGCCCAGTTTTGAGAGCTACCTCTGGGAAAAGGAAAGGGGCTTTTCCATGGTGAGTAATTCCTTTTAACTATATAATTTCTTTTATATGGTAAACGGGCAAAATAATAAAAATTCCTCATAGGGTACTTTTGAAATGTCAATTTTTAGAAGTTGGAGAAATTATTAAGACTAGAGAAATTGATAAGCTGGCTGTTATATAGGAAACAAAAAAGATATAACCAACAAAGAAGGCAAAAAAATATCCAAGAGAAAAGATGGCTACACAGCAAAATACAGAAAGTGTTTGTATTACTCTTACAGATGGTTCCTCTCTAGCAGATTCTGTTTTTTGTTCATTATTTGTTTATTCACTCACTTAGTCCTTCACACACCCCCCCCCCCCAATATATATGTATATTTAGCACCTACAGTGCTTTGTGTTTAGTTCTGGGGTTATAGGGATGACATCATTATCTATATAAACAAGAGAATGATATGTTTGCAATAGGAAGATAATCATTTCTGCAAAGTTGTGGTATCTAAAGATGTAATGTAACCATTTCCATTTTTTTGTGTTTTCCCTGAGAATACTGATTCGAATAAAATAGACTTTACGCTGTTAGTATTTATTCTTTTTTGTTTGTTTTGTTTTTATATTAATTTTTAGAGAGAGTGGAAGGGGTGGAGGGAGGAGAAGAGAGAGAGAAATATCAATGTGAGACACACCTATTGCCTCCTGCACACACCTCAACTGGAGCAGGGATCGAACCTGCAACGCAGGTACATGCCCTCGACCGGGAATCAAACCTGAGACCCTTTGGTGTGCAGGCCAGTGCTCTAACACTGAACAACACTGGCTAAGGCATTAGTATTTATTTTTAAATTTATTTTTCTAATTTTACTGTCTAAGGAAGCTTCTACATTTTGCATTCTCTTCTCTCTTGGTTCCTTAATTCATTACCTTCTTGCTAGTTTCCTTATCCTTAGTGGAGAAGTTTATTGAGTAACCTGACTGCAAAATTTGGTAGATAATAAGAACATTTGGGGTTCAAGTAGATGCTAGCATTGTGTTTGTTACCTGATAAAGCATCTGATTTAGTTTGAGGCTAAAATATTGTTTTTTGACAAGGTGTTAGTTAGCAAGCCCCTAATTTCAATGAGAATTTATGTTTCAAAAGTGGAGATGGGTCCAATGATACTAAGATTTGAAGTTGAAATTACAAGTTGAGCAGTATAATACATTTTAGCAGTATTGCAATAGAGCAATACTATAATCTTGATGGATTGGTTCTGTCCTTAGTGAACAATAAAAATGTTTCGATGTGCTTGCCAATTGAAGGTTGTAAATTAAAAGTTTTAAGAGATAATGAAAGTGGTATTCTGGTACATAGGAAAATATTTCTAAATTGTTATTTAAATGGCAGAACATTATATTTTATTCCTTTGTATGTAAATGTGAAGAATATGTTATAGAAAGATAAGTTCATGAGGTATAATAATTAGTTAATTTAAACTTGTTATATATGTGGCATGCTTTGAGATGACACCATCATCCTTTTTGTGAAGATAAGCTATATCTAGAGTCTAGATTCTGGACTGATCAATCCTTACATTTTACCTGACTCTTACTAATTATTTCTATATTATCTTTAGAACAAGAATTCCAAGTAAGTTGCTTTACCTGATTTTGATTAATTTTTATTTTCAGAATGTCAAGAAATACTCTCTTCTTCGGGAGTGAACCTAAGACTACCATAAATAAATTTCATTTGTTTCTCAGCCTGTATTTCACATACTCAGACCCAGTGAGAGCATAACTGTGACTATTAGGAGTAATGTCTAATTGTTGTGTATTAATTTTAATTTCCTTTCTCTGATCAAATTCCAGGCTGCCAGGATATCGCAGATGAGTTTAGAGCACAGGAGATTGATGGACAGGCCCTTCTCTTGCTAAAAGAAGACCATCTTATGAGTGCAATGAATATCAAGCTTGGCCCCGCCCTAAAGATCTGTGCACGCATCAACTCTCTGAAGGAATCTTAACGAGATCATGAGGCTTTGCGATAACATCAGTTTTATTCTTCTTAAACAAACTTGTAAGGTAAAGGCTCAGGTTGGCCTAGAATATTATCACGTATTGTGGTGGATAGCCAAGAACATTGGGATCTCCACATGAAAAGCTGACATTTCTTTTACAGATATAATAATTCATCATACATTTTCATAATTAGCCAACATTGGTGAAATTAATTTTACAGGTTACATACAACATTGAAAGACCTGTTATAGAGGGCCATGATATTTTTCAAAGAAACGTATTATAGTACTTTTTAAAAAAGTAATGTTTATCATTAATATAAAGAATCCTTTTAAAACTAACTTAATGATTTACATTTCTCTTTTGATTCAGTTTTGTTATACATTTTTCTACCCTATAAGTTTCCCATAAGTTGTCATTAGAGATAATTTAAGAATAATTTAGGAGTCCAGTGACTGGAATTGTATGCAGTGAGATATCATTGTGCATTTAAAAAAACATGTCTGTTAGAAAGTTGTTTTGTCTATAAAAATGGATTGCATTCTAGCAAGAATAACACTGATCTGGGAGTCAGACAAGTTGGTTTCTATTCTAAACTTGACCAAGAATTTGGTGTAGCTGAGAACATTGTCCTCTTAGTTTTTGTACATGTAGACCAATAGTTCTCCTGGAGATGAGTTTTGCTGCCCTGGGGACATTTTGGTTTAGCTGAGGGGGCTGAGGGAGGGATGCTATCGGTACCTAACACATGGAGGACAGGGATTGTATATTTCCTACAATGCATAGGACAGTTCTCCACAACAGCTATGCGGTCCAAAATGTCAGTAGTACCAAGGTTGAGAAACTTTAATGTAGGAGTGATAAATGATTCCCTTTTTCACCCAGAGGGATACATTACACAATGGAAATATTTCAGGTAGCATCAGTGTTCTGCTGAAGTATTTTCCCCAGTGTATGCACACTGAGAAAAAGGGGAGCGATCCATTAAATTGGCCGATAAAATAAGGACTAGCATATAAATAGACTCTCAAAAGATACTGATTCATATTATCTTTTATCTATGCTCCTCTGTGATAAAAGGCATAATCTGATTACACCTTATGAACCAATGTACATATAACCTTTACCAACAAGGCAATAGTGTGTAGCACATACACGTATTTGGTCTTTGGCATTTTTCTAATGTTGAACATGCTGGGTCTAGCTAGAAAGCATATTCCCTTTTCCTGACAAAACCCTTGCATGCTTTCTGCAGAGCACTTACCAAGTGATATCTCTTGAATGGTGAGGTCTAAGTTTGTATGTACACGTTTTAGGGGGGAAATTTTTAAGTAAAACCTTTCACCAAACAGTTAGTGATCTACTAGAATTGTGACACCAAAACATAATTGTTTTGGGAGCCTTGAGAGCTTTATAGTCCTGGACATCAAAAATTTGTTTATTTTTTTAAATCTTATCTCTATCATACAATGAAAATGTTTTAATAATCGAAGGAACATACATAGATATTTGGCAAAAGTGGAAAGAGTCTATGGGTTTCAGTCATTATCACTGCTCTTTTCAAAAAGATTGTGTTGACCTAGTAGAAGACTAAAGATGTCATTAAAGACATCACAGATATTTATCTTTTGGCTTTGTGTACATTAGAGAATGTTGATTATTTTTATACAAAAATACAGCGGGTAATTTTTTTAATCTGTAGATGCCTCTTGTTTGAATGTATGCTTTGTGGGATTCTTTAGTGTAGTAATGTTTTAAAAAATGATGTTTACTGATAGTTGCGTGTAGGATTAGAATGTGTAATATAGTGTAAGGCTCATGTTCCAGACCTACAATAGCTTGTAGTCCATGTTACATATTTCTTTATATCACATTTTTAATTATTGGATTAAAGTTTCAAGGAAAGGTAGGTACTCTCTAGTCAACTTTCATTTATTAGCATTTAATCATTGTGACAGAGTTGTCATATGCTTGACTTTTCCCCTCATGTTGCAATTTCAGAACTCAAATACAGGCTAAGCACGGTGGAAGATGTTTCACTGTATGGGGGGGTGGAGGCACAAAGAAAAATCTCCCCTGGAATTAAAACTTTAGCATAGAGAATCCACACACAATTAATATAAGATTATGTGAGGATAAATTCCCCTTGCAATAATGATTGCTTCCCATAACTACATATAACCTTTAAGGGGTTAGCTTTGAACTGTGTTAATAGGTTCACCTTTTATTTACACCCTCTTCTAATAGCAGTCATTATGTAGTACTTGTAAAAGCCCCTGTGCCTGGCACTATGTTAAGAAAGGATATCCATTTGGGAGTACCTTATAATCTTAAGTCTTATAATAATCTTAAGAATAGTATCAAAACATACCAGAAAATATACTTGGTTTTTTTTTTTTCAAGTGAGTAGTTTTATTTAGAAATGGCTCATTTGCTTTCAAGTAGTCACTCTCACCTTTGAAGCAGTTATTTCTTTCAAGATGATTAAATCATGTTAATATCAGTTACATATAATGGATAGACGATGACACTGGGTGTGCACCTCTCTCCTGAGCTTTAAGCACAGTTTTAGTATGATATAGGTGGGAAGAGGGCTATATTTTTATTTATATAATTGTTTTAGGATTTTGATTGAGGGAATGACAAGCAGAAAGAGAAGTTCTTCCTGTTTTTGCTACTTAAGTTTGTATTTTCTGACTTGTTTAAACTTACACACTCTTTTTCCATTGAGGGGGTGGAAAACCTACAAGTTTGAAGTTTTATTTGCTTTAAGCCATGTGTTCCTAAGAAATTAAACAAGCTGAGAGAGCTGGCTTGTAAAAATTATTTTTTACATGATGTGGATTTTCATCAAGTCTTGTGCAGGGATGTGTCTGACACAGCTATGCACTTTGATGAAATCAGTATAATATGAGACAGACTGTCACTTTTTAAGTGGCATTTAACTATTTCCAAGATGGTACTTTTAATTTGCTGTGGCATCATCTAAACAGACACTTTTAAGGGCTGACCCAGAAGTAGAGAAGGTGGAATGGGAGGGAAAAAATGTTAGTGAAGAAACTTGAGAATGCGAGAGGCGCAAGAGGCCTGCCACTTATTTTATCTCACTTCAACACTGAACAAAGTTCTGCACTTTTGAAGATAATATTTATGTTTTACCTAGTTTTCAATAGAAATAATTTTAAGTAGCCCTCTTAGAACTGTATGTAATATGTATTGTTATGCCCATGCCTTTGAATAATTTTTTACAGTTAATCTTCATCTAGCCAGTGTGAAATTAGTCAGACATTTATTCAGATACCAGTATTAGATTGAAATCTGCCATAGTGCCCCATATCACTGACGTGTCCAATTAAATGTTTTAAGCCCTATTACTTGTATTTGCAGGGTGTTGGTACACTATGGCACAAGTGTCGTATGGAGGCAATATTTAGATTGTATATATAGTCTTAGGTTGTCAAAAACTCAAAGATTAGTTGTTTTAATTATCAGAATCGAGTATTCACTTTCAGATGCCACAGCTGAATCAAAGAAAAGCATTTTTAAGGTTGTATCTTATTTGCTAGGTTGTCTCAGTGTAAGAATTGGATGACTAAGAGCTGTTTCTCTTTATCAGTGTGATTTTAATTAACACAAGCCTACCTCTATTTTTTGATGCACAGTAGTGTGGATCATGAAGTAAATAGTTTCACATTATTCACTATTGGTATTTTATGAATCTATTTAGAACATTTGATTTCATTTTAAAGATTATGATTCAATTTAGATAAGCACAAATACAGTATTAGGGAAAGTAAATATGCAGTTTTAGCAAAATTTAATTTCAACCTATTAAGAGCTGCATATCTTTAAAAGAATTCTTTGGAAAGATATTCCTCTTTTGTTATAAGTTCAGAAAATGTATCTCTATATGATTTCCTTTATAGCAGCAATACAAGCCATTACATCAGTAAAGAGTTAAAAATTATATTATCTTTGGAAAAAGTTTCCTAAATTTTTAAGAATTCTAAAGTTTTACATATAATTTTTTAGAGCTTATTTAATCTAGCTTAAAATAATACTACGAGAAAGCTTTTTTTTTGAAAGTTGTAAAGTAACTAATATGATGGTAATTATTGCCATATTTCAGAGCAAAACATTTGGCTTTCTCTGAACTGTCACTTTAGTACACACATGTTAAAAGTGGCCTCCCTCCTTTTCAGATCTGAAGCCCACCTTCTCTATGAAAATTGTCCCATTCTACTCTTAACACATGAACCTTTTAAATGCGATGTTTACGGAAACTTTTGGGAAATGTTTCCCATGAATGTTTCATGTTTTCCCTTTTTATAGCTTATGAACATTTTATTTAAAGATGACTGTTTTAATCTCAGATATTAGGAGGTACACTAGAAAAGTATTTTTTTCTACTGTCTTTGAAAAGTACAACTGCTCTCAGTGATACTGGTGGCATAAATATGAATCCATAGAGAGAAAACCTGTGCAAAGGTTTTTAAATATATTGTCTAAAAGGAAGTATAGAATGATTCTTAATTTGGAAAAAAATAAATATGAATTTAAAACACTGTTATGTTAACATGGCATGGTTTTAAATTTAACTCCAGTAATCTTAAGGATTGATAGTAGCCATCATTATTGGCTTAAAAATTATACAGTGTTAAATCCATGTTTTTTGGAGCTTTCATTGATAGAGGTGAAAAAGTTCGTGCTTGTGAGGGTGGTGGAGCTGGTGGTGGAGTAAATACCAACCTACTTTAGAAAGAAGGAACTTTTCAGTCGTGCCTCAGGCAAACCAGAAGTATCCATTGCTTACAGTCTTTGTTTAGAATGGTTGAAAAGTCATAATTCTTTGTTTTAGGTAGTACTAAGTACTCTAGTAGTTAATAGATCTACATAATCATTAAATTACTATGATGAATGACTGGGGTTTCACATCCAGTTGAAACAGCTGTGTGCAGTGACCCCCTCAGCAGTTACTTACCTTTAAACCTGTTTCCTCTTCTATGTATACCGTGTGGAGCCTATACTAAATATGTTGATTTTGATTTAAATCATCTCTTAAGTTCCTCCCAGCTCTAAAATTATGATTCTGGGCCACATAATGGGGTGTTTTTAAGTTGCTTCTACTTAATTCTCATTCCCTTTTCAATAGTTTCTTTCATACTTCAGAGCAATTGCTAAAAGATAATTATTTATTAAGCACTATTCCCTGGGTCACCTAGTCTTGGTTGTCCTAAGGAACAAGGCAGAAAGTTTAAACAGACAAGCAAATGAGGACATTTTTCTAAATGCTTCTTGCTAGCTAACCATGGGATATATGAACACACTAGAGGCCCAGTGCATGACATTCATGCACTCTGGGGGGGTCCCTCAGCCTGGCCTGTGCCCTCTCGAAGTCTAGGAGGCCTCGGGGGATGTCCGACTGCCACAGAAACAAGAGAGGCTCCCGCCACCACCACTGTGCTCGCCAGCTGTGAGCCCGGCTTCTGGCTGAGTCGGCTTCCCCTGTGGGAGCACACTGACCACCAGGGGGCAGCTCCTGTGTTGAGCATCTGCCTTCTGGTGGTCAGTGTGCATCATAGCAACCAGTCGTTCTGCATTTGGTCGATTCGCATAATAGCCTTTTCTTATATATGATGGAAAATGATAATGGACATTATCATTCAGGCATTTATTCATTCATTTAGCAAACTGTTTGAACACTTACTATGTGCAGCATGTGGTATACATGATGTAAGGAACCAGTCATAAGTAAACAAAATTTTCCCAAACAAAATTTTGATTGCAGTTTAAACATGGACATAATTATTACTTTGATGTACTGAATATAAAGTTGGAACTGAGGGAAATATTTCATGCATTGGGGTAAGGATTAGGCTAGATGACAGATAAGGGGTCTGAGTAAATCATATCAAATCCTGTAACATTTTACCTACCAAACATCAATCAGTCATAAACCTGATTAGGTTATGAAATTAAGTGTCCTAACAGTAGGATTTATATTTTGTGACAGCCCATATTTCTAAGAATTGTTTTGACACTTGAATCTATTCCAGAGGTGTTGCTATGCAGGGAGTGTGATAGAACAATACAAAGAAGCTGGTGCTGACTTACTATACATTTTTAACCACAAAAGCTTTACACCCAGTATTGACAGTGAGGCATATCTAAAACTGGGAAATCTCAAAGGAATTCACTGAACAGGTTTGTTTTGTACTTTTGTTTTGCTTTTAAAGCAAGGAAGACTACATAAAATAAATTTTATTACAAATATCTACTTTTTAGAAAGAACACATTACCAAGTAAAAGGGTTTTACTTTAAAATACTTAACTAGTAAACATAAAAGAGTTCTATGTTTAAATTGACAAGTATATGGGGAGTAAGTATTGAATGGGATCATTATTAACTGGGTAGAGATTCCTTACCACTTGAGGATTCTGTGACTTACACTGTAATTCCTATTGACAGAGCTTTACATATTAACATTGCTTGATACTAACATTCTCTATAAAGATAAAAAAATGAAAGTATCTCATTTTTATTGATTGCTGAGAGGAAGGGAGAGGGAGAGGGAGAAATATCAATGATGAGAGAGAATCATTGGTCGGCTGCCTCATTCATGCCCCACACTGGGGATTGAGCCCCAACCCGGACATGTGCCCTGACTGGGAATGGAACTGTGACCTCCTGGTTATATTACAGGTCAATGCTCAACCACTTAGCCACACCAGCTGGGTAGTCACAACTTCTTAAAGCAGGAAAATGTCCTAATACATGTTGGATTGGAATCTTTAACAAATTGATTTAAAAAGGAACACTGACATTCCATGTAAAACAGGTTTTTCCCCCATGGCATTGTTTAAAATTTAACATGTTTTGATATACCCAATTTTAAAAATATTTACCCATATTTTATGATGTTATATATGTTGCGTAAGTACCTTTTAAATATGTATTCTTAAAACTTAGAAAGTCAGTGGAGCCCTGACTGGTGTTGCTAAGTGGTTAAAGCATCAGCTCCTGAACCGAAGGGTTGCATGTTCAGTTCCCAGTCAAGGGCATTCACCTGGGTTGTGAGTTCCCTCTCTGCCTCAGTCGGGTGCATACAGTAGGCAACCAGTCAGTGTTTCTCTCTTGCATTGATATATATTTCTCTCTCTCTCCCTTCCTCCCTTCCGTGCTCTCTTAAAAGCAATGGGAAAAACATCCCCAGGTGAGTATTAAAAAAAATAAAATCAACGAAGTGTACAAGGATGTTTAACTTCCGAGACATTTACCCAAGATTCCCAAGTCACCTTATTCAAAAACTTTTTGTTTTTTTCTGTAGGGGAAAAAAAAGTCCAAGTAGGTTCTAGAAACTATGCTTAGAGTCAGGAGTAAGCTTGTGCTGAGTTGTAGGCAGCAGTGTGCAGGGTGGATGCCGACACAGATGGCAGGCATTTCAGCCTCTACTGAATTAATGCTTTTGTCTTGCTGGTTAACCTTTTGTTGATTTAAACAAAGGCAAATTTTTGTGATATATTAGTTTTAAAAAATACTAATTTTTGATTCTTCAAGTATATGTTGACTTTTTCTATTTCTATGTTTGATTCCTCACACTGTTCTAAAATGGGACTTTCAAATGATTAAAACCTCAAAAGCTGATCCACCCAGGATGAACAAAGCATCACCAAGGGGAAAAAGCATTTTTTATCTTTATAGAAAACAAATGTTAAGATTATATATAGATGTATTCTTTACATTGGATATTGTATTAGAGTCCTCTTTACAGGAAATTAGTTTTAGCACTCTTAGCATTAGTGTTCCTAGATTGGTGTCTGTAGCTAGTTTTCAAATGTATAACCTGAAAATGAAGTTAATTTTGCATTATAAGAGCACACCACAATCTATGTAAAAAGTCTGTCCATTTGGTATATTTTTTTTAAAAAGAGAAGGCACTTTCATATTAACAAGTAGCATGTGTATTAATTTTAGATTTTCATATCTGTTGTGTCTGTATTCAGTGAAGTGAAATTAAGCTTGTTGATGGCAACATTAACTGTTAAATTAAAGCACCTTATATTCTGCTGCTTAACCTGACTTGTAATTGCACCTTTGTTACCTGCACATTTCACGTAGAACATTGTTGTAACATTGCTTCATGTGGGTCTGGATGAAGGTTAAGTGGGCCTACAGAATCATTTATTTATATTGTTTATAATTCAATAATATATTGTAGACCAGCTGTTAAGTTCATTTCTTTACTAATAAAAGCCTCTTCCATTTGGCTGGTCTATTGCATAATTTCTTTTCTTCTTTAAGCTTATGAGGCATGGGGACTTTCTAAGTGAACAACAACAAAAAGCTTACTAAGGGATTTGAAATAGTTAGAAACTTTCCTGATTTAAAATCTGCTGGGTTTTATTAAGTACAATTTATTTTAAATATCGTAGTGCCATGTTATGGCCAATTAGAAAGCAGTACATTCAGAGGAAACATAATAGAGAAGTGAGAGGGCCAGGTTTAGACATGGACAGGTTGGGCACTTCTTAGTTCAACTGAATTCACAAAGTGACTGTCATTCAGATTCCTTTAATCCTGTAGTTCTCAGCTGGGGCGATTTTGCCCCCCCATGGGAGGCTTGGCAATGTCTGGAGACATTTTGATTGTCACAACTGGGGAAGAGGGTGCTACTGGTATCTAGTGGGTAGTGGGTAGGGATGCTACTAAATATTTCAATGCACAGGCATTCTCCCCAAACAAAGAATTACCTAACCCAAAATAGCGATAGTGCTGAGGATAGGAAACCCTGCTTTACTTTTACAATGTAGTTATGATTTGATATTGCAAGTGACATTTAAGTTATAACTGAAAAGGAATCTGGCACGGAGAGAACCTAGTCACTACCAGTTCTGTAAGGTAAGCAACCGAAACTTAGCTTGCAGAAATATTTACATTAAGAACAAATATATTTTTAAAATTAGCTACTCTTCCCCTATGTTAAAGAATATTTATACCGAATCATTTTAAAAAAAAAATCTTGATTTTATTGCTGTGAATTAAATAAAAATGTTTATTTAAGTTTATATAAAAGTTGGCAGCGCATCTCAGATTTACATAACTGTTTGCATCCAGTAGTTTTTTTGGATAACAGAAACATCAGTATGGCCAAGTGTTGACTCATTTCACTTCTATGTTAATATTTGTAACATGCAATTTTCCTCAACAGGTATAAAATTTTTTCTTGGAATTATTTTGTTTAAAAATGAAAAAGACAAATAATATCATAGCCCTAAAATACACATTGAGGCGGTTGAGGGAGGCTTCAGTTCAGTTCAGTCTTTGTATGCCCTGAGTTACTCTTTTTCCTTTGAAAATACCACAGTTGTAAGTTTTAACATGGCAACATGTTAACAAATTATAATTGATGTAGGCTTTTCAATTTGCTCAGGATCATGAATTGCAAGTGCAATGAAGCAGCTTTTCCAGTTGACAAATGGATCCACAGGTAATGCAATGTCTCTTAAATTAAACTTGTGACATTTACACCAGTAAACCGTAGCAATGAGAAAACTATTGACAAAGTACAACCATGGAATGTTCATCTCAATATATGCTGGAATCTGTACTTTAAATAAAAGGATAATTATTTGAAGTAGTACAAATGGTAACCAGGTACCGAGAAAACAGACAATGAACTTGGGCAAGAGTGTTTTTTTAGAGTTCACAGTACAACTAGAATGGGATAAAAAGGGGAAATATAGGACAGTCTCATTCATGTAGGAAGTTATCCTAATAGCCTGTACTAAGGTAATAACTTCTGACCAAGAAGTGATGAAAGCCATAAATAAAATCATCACCATGAAAAATGAGAGCCAGTAACTTTGAATGCTGACGTAGAAAGGACATTGATAAGGATAAACATTCTGTGCCTTTAGGTTTTGGTAGATATCTGGATCTCCCAAAACATAAGCAAATACTGAAATCCAAATCAAAAGTACTGTAAAGAAATAACATAATTTCTGACACTTAAATGGAAGGGTGGTTTTAGAAAAATTCAGATAATAATCTATCCATGCTATCAGGAAAACTGGATAATGCAAAAAGCCGTAAGTAAAAGATATAATTTGAGTAAACAAGCAGATGTGGTATTTAGTAAACCTAATGTCTAAAAGTACAAAATCCCTGAAATAGGATATAATGGAAATGTTTACCAAAAGTAAAAGGTCCATGAGTGCTAGTGAAATGCAAAAATATTCCATAAAATTTTGACAGGTGTTTTTTCTTCTCATTCCCAGTGTGAGGATATTTAATAATATTTTCCCAAGTATAATCAAGATTAGCAGGCAGTTACCATCCAGGGGCTGACTTGTTTGATGTAACTGGTACTGAGAAGAGCAGTTCTCTGAAGCAAGCACGATCATATTTTTAGTTAAACTTCAGAAGGCCTGCTGAAAGATAGACGATAAGATACTGCTTTGCTTTATTTTCCATCCCTGCAAAGAAAAGTGAAAAAGTCTTGATATTATCTTGATTCTATCTCTATTTTAAGACTTTACAAAACAAGCACTAGGATTCCCCAAATATAATTTAATCCAGTCACTTCCACAAATAATTATATGTATAAATAGAAATTTATGTTTCTCATAAAACTTATATAGATGAAGGATTAATATGCATACTTTGGTCATTTTTTGAGATCCAGGTCATTCAGAACTCTCAGATCTATAACCAAAATGTTACATATAAATTACTAAAACTTCCATATAAGTACAAGTTTTAATGTGTAAAAAGATAAAATACTTTGTCCTACTGGAGTGAAAACACAGGCTTAAAAGTGGCATTCAGACAATCACTGATAGTTGTTAACCGAGTCTCACTCTGACTCAAGATGTTACCTCACCTGTCCCCCCTTTTGTCTCTTCGTCAGTGAAGTAGAGGTCATGTTTAAGGGACCCTCTAGTCCAGCAGTTTTCAAACTGTTTTAACTGCAGGATCAACATTCACATTAAGTATCTGAAGTTCAAAGATATGGAACAGACTATTCAGCTGAAAATATTAGGAACATTGGCAACAGAAAGAAAGATTTATCTTCTGGGCATGATCTTTCAGGTGTGGCACCTGGAGAGAGGAGAGAATACAGGGAAGGAATAGGGACCGAGTATGGATACCTGAGAACATTAGGAAGTGCTAGGTAAAGGCAAAGGAACAGGAGTTGAAGCTTGAGTGATAAATGCACTTGGAGGCAGCAAAAAAGATAACGTGGTGAAAGAGGTCAGAAAGGAAGAAATCGGGAAAGGATGAAAGAGAAGGAAGGAAATTGGAGAAATTTATCCTGAAAATAGACCCAAATATGTCTCTGCAAGACTGTTCAACCAAGTATTTCTGAGTAGCAGAATAAAACCAAACCCAAATAGTAACAGGTCCATCACAATGTCAACAACTGAAGAGGGGGAGAGGGTTAAAACGATACAGTCCTTCCCTACAATGTACTATCCTGCAGCCATTAACAATGTCAGCAGG